CTCTTCCTGCTTCGCTTTCCGGGCCGAGCAGGATCCGGGGGCGGGAGGGGAACATCCGGCACCGGCCCCGGGGCTGGGGGGACCACCGGGAACCCCCCCCGGTTCCGTTAAACCCCCCCCCGGTTCCGTTAACCGCCCCCCGGTTCCGTTAAACCCCCCCCCGGTTCCGTTAACCGCCCCCCGGTTCCGGGAAACCGCGGGGGGAGGTGGCGGCTCGGGGTTACCGGGGTCTCACCGGGGGGCTTCGGGCCCCCGTGGCTGCTCGTGTCCCCCTCCCCACCCTCGCTGTGCCCCCCCCCGGTGCCCCCCACCCCGATCCCGGGAAGGAGCGAGACGGGCTCGATCCAAAATTCCTCGTTTTTAATGGTTCTGGTTTGGGACTTTTCGGGTTCGGTTTTGTTTTTTGTTGTGGTTTTTTTTGTTGTTTTTTTTTCTTTTTTTTGCCTTTTTTTGTCTTTGATCTTTTTTATTTCTGGTTTCGGTAACTCGGTTCATGCAATGGCGGCGGCCCCGGTTCCGCCGCCTCCGTGCCTCGGGCGGGGGGGGCCGGAGCCGGTTCCCGGTGCCCGTTCCCGGTTCCCGGTGTCAGTTCCCGGTGCCGGTTCCCGGTGCCCGTTCCCGGTGCCGGCTCCCGGTGCCCGGTGCCCGGTTCCCGTTCCCGGTGCCCGTTCCCGGTTCCCGGTGCCGGTTCCCGGTTCCCGTTCCCGCCGTTCCCGGTGGCGGTACCCGGGGCCCATCCCGGAGCCTCCCGGGCTCCGCTCCCGGCCCGGCGGCTCCTCCCGGCCGGGGGCTCCCTCCGGGCGTGGGGAGGTTCGGGGGGTCCCGGGGAGGCTCGGGGGGGTCCCCGGGGCCGCCCCCCCGGCGGCGGCGGCGGCTCCTCCAGATGATAAAACTCATCCATAGCCCCGGGAGCGGGTGGCGACCTCCGCCCCCCCGGCCGCGACACGCCGCGCCGCGTGCGCGCCCTGTCGCGATATGTCGGGCACGTGCGCGCCCTGTCGCGATATGTCGCGGGAGGCGCCGCTAGCAGCAGTCATCGTCCGTCTCGCTGTAGGGGTCGC